GCCGGGAAGGACTGGCGGCCCAGAGGCGGGCAGAGCCCATTCCTGGTCCAGAATGGTGTGACGATGGTGTGACCAGGAGCCTCCTTACCCCTCCACAACAGGTTCTCTGCCCACCAGAGAAGAGAGCTGGGGCCCGGAGGAGCTGCCAGCAGAGCCTCAGGCCTCTTGCAGAGCTGGGTTGGGCCTCCAAGCCAGACCAGGCTGACCTTTCCCAGGGGAACGGAGTCCCTCATCCCAGCCCCGCTCCAGCCCTGCCCCTCCCTCCCCTCGTGGCACCGGGCCCGAGGGCAGGCGGCCAGGTCCCCAGGGCTGCCGGGTTCCTGGGGAAGCTGCCTCCTGAACATGCTCAGTCCCCAGGCAGCATGAGCTCCAGGTCAGGCAGCCACAAGAAGAGAAGACGCTCACCTGCCCCAGAGACCCTGCAGCCATCATGTCCCCAGCCCCTCCCCAGAGGCCTCCCACGCTGTTCAATAATAGCTAAACCCCACCCCACACTGGCAAGGCCAGGCTCCCGGTGGCCCCTCTACCTTCTGGGCTCCCACCGCTTCTCCCAGGGCCACCCTGCCCCTAGCACGGGCATTGCGCCTTTCTGCCTTTGCTGTCTCATCGACAGCTTGGTCCACAGACTAACCCGTTCAGTACTCACACCAACCCCATTCCTACCCTGCAAGTAGAGGACCTAGGTTCAAATCCCAGCTCTACCACTTCACAGCTGTGTGAGCCCAGGCTGCTCACTAAGCCTTTCTGGGCCTGGGTTTCCTCATTTGAGTAACAGGGGTAATAACAGCACCTGCTTCCTCGTCAGGTTGGTGGAGATGAAGTGACTTCATACACAGTCTCCAGCAGTGCCGGCACCCAGGATGGGCTCCGGGGTGTGATTTGGGGACACTCACCGCTTTTCCATGCTCTGGTGTCAGCCCCTTCCTCAGGGAGCCCTCTGACCGGTGGCCCCAGCACCAGGGAAGTTCCTCCAACTGTCCCCGTGCATTTGCTTGGCAGGTGACATACCTCCGACCCCCATCCCTGGGGTGAACAAAGAGGTGGCAGGGGGCTGAGGCTATGGGGTGCAGGTACCTACTGGGGGTCAGACTCTGCAGGAGGCAGAGCTGGGACCCAAACCTATGGAGCAGGGTCCGGAGACCGTGCCCTGAGCGGAGGGCCTGCCACTCTGAGTGCCTACTGTATACCAAGGACTGTACCTACATGGCCTGCTCTATCTTTAAGCGCCCCTGGGAGGTAATATAACTGCTTCATCTGAGAGAAAGAGGGAAACTGAGGGCGAAACAGATGTGCAGGCCAAGGTCAGGGGGCTAAGCAGCTGCTTGTAGCTACAAAGGACTGGGGAGGCCGGTATGTGCCAGGCAGCATTGCCCTCAGCTGTTCTGTGTACTTTCACCAAAACTCCAAGAAGATGGGTGTGCTGAGCTGGAGAGTGTCACCCAAACATTTCATGTCCCCCAGAACATATGAATGTGACCTTATTTGGAAAAAGGATGCTTGCAGATGTGATCAAGTCAACGTGAGGTCATACTGGATTGGGGGGGTCCTTGTAAGAAGAGGGAAATGTGGACAGAGGCACACGGAGAAAGCCACACGAAGATTAAGGCAGAGCTTGGAGTGACGCAGTCACCGGCCAAGTTCCACCAAGGCTGCCAGCAGGCACCAGGGGCTATAGGAGGCAAGGCAGGCTCCCCACCAGGGCCTCTGGAGGGAATGCGGCCTCTCGGATGCCTTGAACTTGGACTTCTGACCTCCAGAACAGTGAGAGAATACATTTATTTTAAGACCCTTCACCATGGCGGCCACAGTAAACACACAATGGGGGCTCCTTGCCTCCTGCTGTACAGATGAAGAAACTGAGGCACAGAGAGGTTGGCTGTCTTGCCTGAGGTCACACAGCTGGAACATCCAGGGGCTGAGACCTGGCTTCTCCCTGGGCACAGGTCTCTCTGCCACCCATCCTCCAGGGCCAGGCTGCTAGCGTCTTCCAGAAGCTTCTGGCAGGCTGGGGTCTGAGGGCCCTGGGGAAACCTGGCTGCCCATCTGCCCAGGCTCCCCAAGGGAGGGGTAGGGGCTGATCATTCCTGAGTGCCCCTGCCCACACAGGGTGAGGCACTATGCCCCTGCAATGATGGGCAAAGGATGGGTGGAGACCACCTGCCTCAGGCAAAGCCACTTTTCCAGTCCCTTTTCCTAACTCTGGATTTTCTGGGCAGGGGGCTCCAGAACGTTCCTAGCTTCTCCACCCTGACACATTATGGAGGAGTTGCTGGGGGCACATGCCCCAACCCTGCTCCCTGCTGCCTCTGCCTGTAACATATAGCCATTAGCAGCCACCCTGAGTGGTCATTGTCCAGATTGCTGTAATTCATGGCAGACGAGCACGCCGCTGCTCACGGCATTATTACAAATGTCACTGAGCAGGGCCTCCACGCGCATGGCCCCCAGGGGACTCACTGCGTCTCCACGGGCAGGACCCAGATGAGCTCACTGTCATCACTGAGGACCCAACCTTGAGACGGTGGGACACAGGCTCTTCTCCGCCGGTGAGTCATCCCCGGCTGTCCTCCCAGCCTCCGGATCTGCCCTTCCATAAGGCAGAGAGGGCAGGCGCCGTCTCCCAGTTCTCGGGCAAGGGGAGGTTCACCGGTAACAGGGGTGGTGACAACAGGAGACAGGAGAGTGGATAGAGGCAGTAGGACTCTAACTGGTCATTGAGGGGCATCCACGCAGAGTCCTCCAATGGGGGGCTGCTCTGGGCGACCTCCCAGCAAATGGGCTAAGCTCCCAAGGACTCACGTGTGATTAAAAATCTCATACAATTCTACACAAATGCTCACAGCAGCACTATTCACCACAGCCACACGGAAACGACCCGCATGCCCCCAGAGATGAACGACTGACAAAATGTGGTCCTCTCGGGTGATGGAATATTATTGAGCCGTACAAAGCTCCTCAGAGGAGCCCCAGACCCATCACGCTCCGAGAAAGGGGCCAGACACAGAAGGCCACTCTCCGTAGGATTCCATTCATTGAAAACGCCTGGAGCAGCCAGGTCCGCAGAGGCAGGGAGTGCATTAGTGGCGGCCAGGGGTGGCTGGCTGGGGCGGGGCCTGGGAGGGGCTGCTAATAGGTGTGGGATTTCCATCTGGGGTGAGAAAAAGCGCTGGAGCTAGACGGCGGTGTGGGTACGGGCTGCACACGATGCAGATGCACTTATCACCACTGAGATGTTCCCTTCTCAGTGGTTAGAATGGCATGCTTCATGTTATGTGTATCATACCAAATTAAATGGAGGCGGGGAATCTCACAATTTCAGTAAAGCTTCTTCTGCAGCCTATAGTGAAATACACACCAGAAACCACCAAGTGGAGGTTAAAGACAGAAAAACAACAAGGTGGCATGTCTGGGGGCTGAAAGCAGCCCAGGCCCTGCCAGCTGGAGACAGTGCCCAGGCCCCGTTGGCACACCTCTCCCTCACCACACACAGAGCCCGGCCCGCAACAGCAGCAGGCAGCCCTCCTTCCTGGGTGCTGAGAGGGTCCCTCTGGGTCCCGGCCCACCCCAGCCTGTGGGGTGGAGGGCAGAGTGCCCCCGGAGGAGCTCTGAGGGGAAGGGCAGGGGCTGCGGGGGTCTTCTCGGCAACCCCCCCGCGACTACAGTGGAGGGTAGGGCTGGGTCCAGGAGCCGCGTGGTCCAGACTGTTCTCAGACACACCTGCCCTTCTGTGCCCAGAGTGCTCGCTAGAAAAGCCCTTTGTTCCCTCCGTAAGTCACGACCTGGAGCTCTCTGCACAATGAAACTACACGTCACAGATGGCCACGACTCCAGCAGGGCCACGGGACCAAGAACGGGCGGGGGCGGTGGTGGGGGCGGGGGGGCGGCTCAGGCCTGCTCCTGGCCCCACGCACCAGCTCTGGAACCCGTGGCACTCCTTGGCCTCTGCTCCCTGGCTCCTTATCCGCAAACAGGGACACAACAGGACAGGAGCAGGCCCTCCCTCTCATAGCCAGGGCGTAGATAACGGAGAGTGAGCGTGCACCGTGGGAGTCAGGTGCCGCCCCGGCCTCAGCAGTGCTGCCAGCAACACCCTTGCCCCGACAGTCCCGGCCCCAGGCAAGGGTGAGGGAGGGGGGATTCGCTGCCACCCAGCTCACCCTAGGCCCTCACCCAGGTTATCTGATTCCGCACAGCCAACCTGGATACCTCTCCCACTTAACAGACAGGCAAACCGAGGCCCAGAGACAGGTCACGGTGCTGGGAAGCACAAGACTTGGCCAGGAGTTGGCACAGCTGAGAGGGGCCCTGGCTCAGGAGGCGCTGGACCCCAGCCCCGCCACACTGCACATCGCAAGTCCACCTGCAAACTGGGAATGGCTTCTGCTGTCAGCACCAATGCCTGCTGGCTCCCTGCCATGTGAGCCACTCCCACAATTGTCCCCAACAGCCCGGGTGTCCCCATCCACTCTGGGATATGTCACCCAGACTGGGATGCTCAAATCAGACACCGGTTCCCAAAGCCCCAGCACCCCTGAGCTCAGGGTAGGGACTTTGGGGCTCTGCCTCAGGGCTGGACGAACGCCCTACAGGTCTCCTTGACCCCAGGACTCTACCCAGATAACCGCCAGCAAGCTCTGCCTGTCATGAGTCACCCAGGTGTGCTGCCGCTGCTCTGCCCCCAAGGCCAAGAGGGGCTGGCCACAGAGGTCACCCAGAAGCCAGTCGCTGGCTACACACACCGCACCAGCTGCGGCTCTCTGAGCTGTGGCCCCAAGTCACAAAGACAAGCCTGACAGTGCAGCTGCACGGACCCATTTTCTGGAGGATAAAACTGAGGCGCCAGGGTGACCAACCTGAGAACAGCCCAGAACCAGAGCCTCACCAGAGGCCTCACCGCAGCCTGTGGTTCAAGGCCAAACGTGTCAACATCCGCCCCAGCCCACGAGCTTCAGGCACTCTGGGTGCAAAGCAAGGAGGCTGAAAGCTGCCCACATCCTCACCTTTCTTGGCTGTTTCCATTTCTTCTTCGGTCCAGCGAGAACTCTCGTTCAGCTCCATGGAGGCTGAAAAGGAAGACACCAGCTGATTGGCAGGAGCCGAGAAAGGAGGCACTTTGCCTTCTGGACTTTTCTCTTTCTCCTTTGAGCCAGGGAGGGAGTGGACCAGGCCTTAACAGTGTCACCCCATGGCTCTCAACCCCATGGGAAGGTCACGTTTCAGGCGCCCCTCCCCAGCCAGTACCCACGGTGGCGTCTAACTCCTGAGCCCTTATGCTGGGCAGCCGGGGCTGAGTCCGGCAGTCCCGCGTGCTGCTGGTCGGGGCCAACCTCCACACAAGCCACTGAGGTCGCAGCACCAGCAAACACCTCATTTTACAGATGGGGAAACTGAGGCAGTCAAGGGCCTTGACCATGATTGCTTTTGTCTGCATGTTGCTGGGAAGCGGGTCACCTGGTGACTTGGTGACAGTGGGACATAAGCTTCAGATGGGCCCGGACCTTGTCTGCCCAAGGACCCTCTTGGAGCCCAGCTCTTCCATTACTGTGAGGCTGTCCCGTCCCTGCAGGACACTTAGCAGCCCCGGACTCTGCACAGTGGCTGTCAGTGGCTGCCTCTGACTGTGGCAATCAAAACTGTTCATGGACATCGCCAGGCGCCCCCCAGCGGGGAGTAAAATCACCCTCGGTGGAGAAGCCCTGCTCCAGAGGGCAATTTTCACATTCCCCAGTCACCCAGTGTGAGGAGGGGCTTTTGCTGTTATTGGGAAGGGACACCGCCTGGCCTTGGGGTCAGCCGGAGGCGGCCGCATCTCTGCTGTGGCTCTGTTTTTGGGTGGGTCCGCTGAGCTCCCCTGGATATGAGCCCTGGTCCTTCCTTTCCAGTTGCTTAAGATCTGTGAGGGGTGGGTGCGAGGGACGTCAGCTTCATGGACTCACTGCCTGAAACTGCACCAGGCAGAGTGTGTGTCCAATCGAGGCTGGCTGAGGACTGCAGGAAGCTTCCAGTAGGAAAGGGGAAAGGGCCCCCACCCCCATGGGCAGCCCCATCACCCTTGACAGGCCAGAGACACCCCAGCCTCCCCCATCTCTGCAGCCCCAGCTGGGCCTCTTCAGGACCTCATCGATGCTCCCATTGCTCCCCACGGGACCCCTAGAGGAAGCCTATGGAAGCCAGGGGTGCCAGGTGCTGGAAGAACAGTGGAAGGCCCAGGAATGTGTTTTCCACCCTGCAGCCAAGCCCCCACCATCAACCTTGGGTCTGAGAGGACTATCCCCAGAGATCAAGCAGGAAGAACACCCTTCGACCCTGGGCCTCCAAGTACACTGCCACCAAGGGGCAGCTGGAAAATGCCTACAGGAGCTGCACAGGCTCTATGGCCAATGGGGCTGAGTTAGAAACCCAGCAACACTGAGATTTTCAGAGAGGCAACGTTCCCTTTCTGAGACTCGAGTGGCCCATTTATGAAACAGGTCCACACTACCTCCCATGGGAAGAAGAGAAAAGTGCGTGACCCGGACCCCAGTGGGAGGCAGTGGGGGTCTGTGGGAGATGAAGCGCCATCTTTGTCAACTCCACACTCAGGATGAGCCCTGGCAGGTGGGGCCCCTGGGTGAGTTCCCACAGTGGCTGGAGGGCTGGAACCTAATAGCGCAACGAAGTAGAGACAACAGACGCACACTGCTGCCCCCTGTGGCAAATCTTGAGAACTGCTACTCACATCGTCTTATTTTTTTCCACTTTCTGGGAGGGCAGTGAGGGATGAGCGGCCTTCTCAACAAAAGGGGAAACTGAGGCCCACAGAAGTGAAGGTGCAAACCCAGACACCTACCAGAGCGGAGGCTGGGTGGGGACAAATAGAGCCCATGACATTCTAAGACGGGGTGGTGGTTACTCAGCTCCCAAAGGCTGCCTCGTGGAAACCTGGGCCAAGTGTGGCCCGATTTCCTGCTTTAAAAACAACCAAAAACTCCAGAATTGCTCATTGGGATTCTTATGTGACATCTCCTTGCTCTGAAATCACCGTGGTTGAAGCCACTGAGCTATTCCTACAGCCCAGGCACTGTTCTAGGTACTTCTCACTAGCAAGTGACTACAGCTCTCCCTCGATATTCAGAGGTAACCACCGATTTCTCCCACTGAGAACGTGAGGACACAGAGGCACAGAGAAGTTCGGGAATTCACTCTAGGCCACACAGCACATCCAGTAGGTAACGCTGGGATTTGACCCCAACCACGACTTCCGCCAACCCCTCGGCCTGCTGCCAATCAACCCAAACTGCACGAAACTCTTATGCGAGTGCAACCCGCCGTGTCTCCAGCCGCCCACACTCACGTCCCTGGCCCCCGCTCACCCAGCTCGGCGCTCTGCTGGGGGGTGACGGCCTCCTCGCTGTTGGCCTCATTAGCCATTGAGCGGGTGATGCGGCCTTTGCGTCTCCCCTGGCTGTTGGCGGTTTTGCGGCCTTTGGAGGCCACGGCCTCCTTCTCGTCGTTGTCCTCCCCTGAGGTGTCGTCCGTCTTCTCCCTGCAGGCCAGAGAGGGGAGACAGGATGGTTTCACCTGAGCCAGGAAATCAAACAGCCATGGGAGGAGACCGTTTCTTTAGCGGGATCTGCAATGGCTGCCAGCAGTGGCACTAAGGGACTCTAGGAAAGAAGGGAGAGGGCTGGGGTGAGGCTGCCCGGGGCGGTCTGCAGGGGCTCTCCGTTCACCAGAAGTGGGAGTACAGCCGGCAGTACAACGCCATGCTATTTATCAAAAGGGAGTTGTGGCTGGGCGTGGTGGCTCACACCTGTAATCTCAGCACTTTGGGAAGCCAAACTGGGAGGATCGCTTGAGCCCAGGTGTTTAAGACCAGCCTGGGCAACATAGCAAGACCCCATCTCTACAAAAGAAAAAAATCAGAAAATTAGCCAGGTGTGGCGGTATATGCCGATGGTCCCAGCTGCTTGGGAGGCTAAGGCAGGAGGATCGCTTGAGCCTGGGAGGTCAAGGCTGCAGTGAGCCGTGACTGTACCACTGCACTCCAGCCTGGGTGACAGAACAAGACCCTGTCTCAAAAAAAAAAGGGGGGGGGTAAGGCGTGTAACCTGGGCTACCCACTACTTAATTCAGCACTAAGGCCATGTGGACAGGCAGTTACACGGCTGGCTATTTTATGCCCCAAATGGGAGGTACTGGGTTCTTCTGGGATGGTGGCCATCTGCAAGACCATTTTATGCACCAAAGAGAGAGATACGAACTGTCTTCAAGACTGGTGAACTAAAGGGGAGTGTGGGCTGGTAGCAATCTACAAGGTCATTTTATTCGCCACAGAGGAGTTGTTTCCAGAGGGGCTCTGTAACAGACAATCTGTTGGCCTTCAGTATGTTATTTATTTATTTATTTGAGACGGAGTTTCGCTCTTGTTACCCAGGCTGGAGTGCAATGGCGCGATCTTGGCTCACTGCAACCTCCGCCTCCTGGGTTCAGGCAATTCTCCTGCCTCAGCCTCCTGAGTAGCTGGGATTACAGGCACGTGCCACTATGCCCAGCTAATTTTTTGTATTTTTAGTAGAGACGGGGTTTCACCATGTTGACCAGGATGGTCTCGATTTCTTGACCTCGTGATCCACCCGCCTCGGCCTCTCAAAGTGCTGGGATTACAGGCTTGAGCCACCGCGCCCGGCTTGGCCTTCAGTATTATCAAGGGCTGAGGCGCCTGAGGCGTCGCAGGAGGAAACCCTCTTGATGGTTTCATGCAGGCCCAGCCAAGGTGTGTGGGGGTACACGTGACCTCGATACCGAGCTTGACTGCGGGCAGCTCAGATGGATCACCTCCACCTTCCCATTCATCTTCCTGAAAGGCCCTTGCTGGAAGCGTCTGGGAGACGGGGATGAGGAAGCCAGATGTTCTCTGCAGCCAAATTCCTGAGCCCATCACAGGTACCTGGCGCTAAGTCGCGCCGCCCCCCTTTCTCCAGCTGGCTGTTCTCCCGCAGCCCCTGGCAGGCACGGAGGCTGTCACGGCCCCCGCAGCGAGGCTGTGCCTTGATCTGCAAGAACTCACACTGCCATCGATAATTCTAAAGGTGAGAGCAGCCGCCTGCACACCCAGTCCTTCCAGGAGTGCCTCTGATCCCCCCTTCCCCCTCCCTGGCGCCTCAGGAGGTGAAGAGCGGGAGGCGGCGGGAGGCAGAGAGTTCCAAAGTCATTGCCTGGATTTATTAGCTCAGGAGTAGAGCTCAAATGAGCTATCAGTCTCTAAAGTCTCTAGAGGGTTGGAAGAAGAAAGGGAGGGCGGAGGAGAGGGGGGTGCAGGGAGGAGGAGGAGAGCAATGGGCGGGCTTCCGGAGGGGGGTTGTCAGGGACAGAAGAGCAGAAAGGCCTCCCCCTGCTCACAGGCAATGGGTGGATGCCTCACCCATGTCTACAAAGGGTCTCCCAGACCCATGTGCCACTGGGGTCTGTCAGGGGCTGGGACCTGCCAGGGACAGCGGGCTGCCTTACTTGAGGTCTTCCTTGTCGTTTTCCACCTCTGGCTTCTCCTCCTCCTTCTCCACCTCCTTTTCCTTCTCCTTCTCATCTTTCTCCTCCTGGCTGCTGCGGGGCATGGGCGGCGGCTGCTGCTGCTGCTGCTATCAGACCCCAGGGAGGGCAGCGGGGAGACAGGAGGGAAGAAAACTGTGAGCAGGTGAATCTCTGCACCTGGGCTCAGCCTGAGCAGGGGGAGGAGGGAAACCCGTGGAGTCTGCCCAGAAGACGCCATAACAACCGGGAAGCCAGGCCCCGCTGGCATGAGCAGGGGAGAGGCACGGCCTGGGGTCCTGCCAGAGTGGGGCCTGGGAAGGGGGAGTTGGGTGAGGAGCAGGAAGCACTGGTGTCAGAAGCACTGGCTTCAGTTCCTGCCTTTTCCACACAGTGGCTGTGTGAGCTTGGATGAGGGTCTTAACCTCTCTGTGCCAACTCCTTCGCCTTGACAGCCGGGGTATTCAGCATGCCTGTGCCTCAGCCTCAGGCTGTGAGGCTGAGATGAGAGAATCTTCACCATGCCCACATCTGAGTCTAGCCCAGATATTTAAGAGGGGCAGAAGCAAACTGGGCCCGAGCGAGGTGCCCTGGTGAGCCTCCGCAGGGGCACCTGAGCATCTGGGAAACTGGGGACAGCTTAGCCCTGCCCCTCACGATTAGCCCTGCCCCCAACAGAGCTGAGGCCACCTCTCTAAGCCTCAGTCTCCAAGTCTGTAGAACGGGGAGGTGGGGGGATGCCCCTGCTTCTCCCGAGCCCAGGAAGGCCCCAGGCCTGCGTGGAGGTGGCTGCTCCTACTTCCTGGCCCCGTCTCCCTCACATGCTGGCCCCCCAGGGGGACAGAGCAAGCCCAATTCACAGAGTGGATCAGAGAGGCTCAGAGCCACGCCAGCCTCCTCACTTGGGCCTGGCCCAGTCACTCTGGGCCTCCGCCCCTCCCTTTACCCAGAGGAGGGCGTGTGAGCTCCTCCCAGCAGGGCCTCCCAATTTCCTTTCCTCCACCTGATTTCTTTGAAAGCACACACTGATTTTCGTGGACACCCCAAGGTCCTCCCTGCAGGCAGCTGCCAAACCAGACCATCTTTGCATCCCCCTGAGCCAAGTGAAATGCTAGAAATAAATAAACCCCAGAGCCTTTTCATGTGTCGCACGGGCACAGTCACACTAACGCTTCAAACCAGGGAGAAGGAACTCCAAGCAGATGAAAGAGGAGGGGCTGGGGGGGTGACAGAGACCCCTTCTCTCGCGTTTCCTTCCTGCCAGGAACAGCCACCTGCCCCGCACATAACACCTCTTTTCATTTAAAATGGGGCCGAGCATGGGGCAGAAAAGCAGAGCAAGGGTCTGACTGCTGCTGGCACCCATGGGCTCTGAGGCTGCTGCTGGGTCCAGAGCAGAGCCTCAGGCCTGCCTCTGCCTCTCTTCCCCAGGAACCCCTCGCCAGTGAGTTCTGTAAGAGGAGCCAGGAAGGGGCGGAGTGGCCCAACTTGAACAGAACCCTCAGCCCCCAGGTTGCTGCTGATTCAACAACAGGTGCCCGGTGTCCTGGGACCAGCCTGTTCTCCGTCTCTTGACTTCAAACTCTCGAAGTGAACCTTTAAACAGCCAGCAGGTGAAGACTCTTTTGGAGGTGGAGGCTGGGGCAGGGAGGGTTTTTGGTTTGTTCCTACACAGCGGCCTTTCTGTCCACTTTTGCCTGACATGGGCAGAGCGGGGACCCAGGGAGGGAGGAGTGATGTGGCTGGCTGGGGGTGGGCATCCTGCCCACTGGGCTGCCCAGGATGAATGCCGTCCCCCTGGGTCAGGCATATAGCCCAGGGCCAGAGTCTGGGCAGGGCTGGGGCTTTCGAATCACAGGGAGCTTGCTGTCTCCTGAGACCACACTCAGCGACGTCTGTGCTGAGAACCCCCTACCTGGGCTGCGGCGTCCCTCCCGATGGATGGGAGCAGCGGCCACGGAGCCTCCCTCCCAGAGCACCTGTCCATCAGCCCTGGATCTAGGCTGGTGGGGGCTCCATGACGCCCTGGGGCCTCACCCATGGACCCACAAAGAGGCTAGGTCTGTCCTGACATGGTCAGTAAATGCAGCTTCACGCCCACCAGGCTGCAGGCAGGGGCCAGGCGGGAAAGGGGTGCATCTGGGCCTGGCCCTGAGCTTCGAGCCTTCCGCACTGCAGCCCTCCTCTGAGTCCTCAGAAAAGCTCCAGGAAGGAAGAGGCCAGTGCAGAGGAGGAAACTCCCACCGACCCCCGAGAGCGGACTAGGTGCCCAGCACTGTGCTGTCCCAGACCCCCGAGAGCGGACTAGGTGCCCAGCACTGTGCTGTCCCAGACCCCCGAGAGCGGACTAGGTGCCCAGCACTGTGCTGTCCCAGACCCCCGAGAGCGGACTAGGTGCCCAGCACTGTGCTGTCCCAGACCCCCGAGAGCGGACTAGGTGCCCAGCACTGTGCTGTCCCAGACCCCCGAGAGCGGACTAGGTGCCCAGCACTGTGCTGTCCCAGACCCCCGAGAGCGGACTAGGTGCCCAGCACTGTGCTGTCCCAGACCCCCGAGAGCGGACTAGGTGCCCAGCACTGTGCTGTCCGTTTTATATGGACCGGCTCCGGCCCTTCTAAAGTCCTGATGGAGATGAAAACAGCGTTAAGAGTGACATGGAGGGACGTCACCGGGGTGACCCAGTCCCTGCAACGTGCCAAGTGCTTTACAACACTATCCTGTCAGCACCGTCAGCCACCCTCGGAAACAGGAGAGCAGCGATCACTGCTCCTATTCTGCAGAGGAGGAAACGGGCTCAGAGAGGCAAAGCTTCAAGGTTTTGGAGCAAAGAAGGCTGACAGCCCAGAGTGTGGGGGATGTGACTCTGCTCTTCCCAAAGCCCCAGCCGAGTCTCGGCCAACCCCTGGCCAGGACCTAGGGAGCGAGTTCTGCAGACTGCCCCACCTGCCCCGTCTACCTATCCTACCCGCCTCCCATTCAGAGTCTCCGAGCCCCGCCAGGGCCTGCCCACAGCCCAGTGGTCATCCCCATGTTCCTCATCAGGATTACTCATGGTGCCACGTGGCTGGCTCTGTCCCCCGTGGTCTCCCCTACCCACCCACCTGTCCATCTTACAGAAGAGGAAACTGATGCACAGAGAAGGTGGCGATGAAGCTGATGAACGGCAGGGCAGGGACTCAAGCCTGCTGCCCTGTCCCGGTCTCCTCTGCACCCATCCCCAGCAGTCTCCCGCCAGCACCCCGGGTCAGAGTCCTCCAAGCCCATGCCATCTCGGGAAAGGTCAGAAGTCCTGATCTGCACTAGATCCTGGTAACCATTTCCATCCTTTTCCCACCAGGACTGCAATCCTCCTCCTCCCTGACTGTTAACCAGCCCCCAGGGCAGGGGCGCCTCCCACCCTCCCCCTCTGGTTGGAGTGAGTACAGCAACACCCACTGGCACAGGGCCTCCCAGGCCGCCCTGAAGCCAAGGCCTAGAGCCCTGGGCACAGGTTCCTCACTTCCCCTGGCCTAAACATCTCCTGTGGGAGAGGCGTCCCCACAGCCCAAGCTGAGTGAGGCCAGTGGAGGAGGCTGAAAGGAGAAGTACCCGAGCAGCCCCGGCCTTAAAATCCACTTTCTAGTGGGACAGACCCCCACGGCTTCAGGATGAACATCTGCCGGGCCTCGCCGCCGTTACCTGAGAGGCCGAGGGAGGGACTGACTGAGGGCTGCTCACAGTCGCTGCTGGGAGGTTATGCAGGGAGGCCCCTGCTCACAACTCCCCGAGGAGCTGGAGGGACCCAGCAGCAAGCTCAGGCCCCAAAACTGGCTATGCTTTACGGCAGCAAGTGCAACGGCAGACACTGCCCAGGCTGGGCTGCTGGGTCTTGGGCCTGCCCACAGCGGCAGAACTGCACCTGCCAGCTTCCCAGGCCACGGAGGACCATGGGTCTCAAGGTTCCATGACAATGGCTTCACACTCAGATCATGTGGGGAGCCCTGCAAAGTCCTGATGTGCAGGCCACACCCCCAACCAATGACATCCGAATCTCTGGGCTGAGATCCAGGTATGTTAAATTCCAGGGCATCCCGACAGGCAGCCAAGTTTGAGAACCGGTGCTTTACTAGGGACTGGCAAACGTTTTCTGTAAGGACCAGAGGATAAATATGCAGTCTCTGTTACCCTCTCCTCAACTCTGCCACTGTCCTGTGAAAGCAGCCCATAGGTCAACAAAAGGGCATGGCTGTGTGCCAATAAATCTTTATTGACAAAAGCAGGTGGTGGGCTGGATTTGGCCTGCGGGCTTTCGTCAGAGCATCACACCTGGAGGTGCACACACATCCCCTGCCAATTCCCGCTCGGTGGGTCTGGGGTGGGGCCTGGGTCTCTGCATTTCTAACCGGCACCAGAAGAAGCTGCCACTGCTGGCAGATTATGCAGGGAGAGGGAGGCCCCAGCTCACAACTCCCCCAGGAGCAAGCAGCAGGACACGCCTGTGGGCACCTTTCCCTGGGCGTGTGGGCCTGGGAGAAGAGGAATCAGAAAGCACTAGAAGCCAGCTCCACTATCTCAGTGGACCCTGAGCACATCTAGAAGGCTGCCTCTGCCTTTCAGATGTGCCACTGGCCAGGCTGACGGTGGGCTTGTGCCCTGAGCATGGTCAGAAACATCCCCCCAAACCACAGCACAATCCTCTGACGAACCCTACCAGGTCCATGGTTAGCCAGAGCCACTGGACCAAAGCCCCTAGGGACGCCTGCCCCCGGATCTGGACACTGAACCTGTAGCCCTGAGCCTGCTGGACAAGCAGCGTGAGCCTGGGCCTGTGCGGAAGCCCCAGACCGGGGGCTGTGCAGAAAACATCTTAATAAAAACAACGCTGGCTCGCTGAGTGCATCTGATGAGGCTTCTTCTCCTTATCACTTCCTACCCATTAGTTATTTCAATCCTCCCTACAACTAGTATCATCCCAGTTTTATGGATGAGAACGCAAAGACACAGAGAGGTTAAGTAGTTTGCCGAATGTCACACAGCATTTCCTAGCAAGATCCTACAGCCAGGTGCCCTACCTCCGCCCTGGGCTGGGGGTCACAGCCTCCTCCCTATGCCCATTTAAGCCAAATGATGC